GTCAGGCCACATCACTTAGAATCCTGACAGTGGCTCATAAGGCCCAACTTGATCTGAGCTCTTGCCCAGGCCAGGCAGGTGTACCAGGGGGTTGGCAATCTCCCTGAGGGCACTGACCTCACCCTTATCATTCTCCTTCCTTCTTTCTGTCCTTCTGTCTATCAAATCCAGCTACACAGCTCCCGCACCTAGATATCCTGCCTCATGCCTGAGATACTCCTCTCCCAGACAGCTGTTGGGCCTTGTCCTCACCTTCAGGTCTCTGCTCATGTGACACTCAGTTAGAGAGCCTTCCCTGACCACCCCGCCTAGAACTCCTATTCCTCTTTTTCCTTCCCATGCTATATATCTTCTTGTTTGGGCATATTGCTCCCTACCACAACTCCTGCCACACAGCAGGCACTCAGTAAGGGTCTAGTGAATCACCTGATGACACAACATGGTGGATAGTGTCATAGAGTCTGGGTTCCTGGGATTTAGGAAGCAAATGAGAGGCATGGAAAAGAATCAGCATGCGCACACACACACCCTGTAGAGGCTCAGGGTTTATCAGGAAAAGAAAGAGAAGACTAGAATCCCAACAGGAGTGGGCAGCAGGACAACTCAGGCACATTTATAGATAGACAGTGAAGGCTTAGTGCTGGGTGAGAGGGAGTGTGCAAGAGGTTCTTCCACCACTGTCCAGTGGGCGAGTCCCTCAAGCAGACAAAGTGGGGCATCAGGAAAGGCAGCAGGGGTACTCCTTCCTCTCCAGAGCAGTATGAGTATGGGGCTTATGTGGAGAGGAGCAAATCGGCCCCTGTCTCTACCCTACCCCACCATCTCCATTAGATGACAGCCCTTCCCATGAGCACCAGCCTCCACCTTGGCCTTTTTGTGCTCAGTGCCACTGTCTTCACCTGATCAGCACAGTGGACTGTAACAGATGTGGTATGTCTGCTCTATTATAGCGCGGGGGCAGGACGGACGGGGACCTTCTGTGCCCTAAGCACAGTCCTGGAACGGGTGAAAGCAGAGGGGATTTTGGATGTCTTCCAAACCGTCAAGAGCCTGCGGCTACAGAGGCCACACATGGTCCAGACACTGGTAAGCTGCCTGCACTACCACTGCATCTACAGCCCTTCTCTGTGAGGGCTAGCCCAGGGAGGGAGGCTCTTCCAGGGGGCCCATCGTTCCCCCAAGGTTCCCCAGCTAGAATAAGCCTTGGTGACAGAGCAGAGGGACACAGCCCTATCACCAGGAAGAGAATTGAGTGGCCTCTGTGAAGACTAGAAAGAGGTGCTTGGGTACCCCATAGGGCTTGTCTGCACTCTTCCATGGGTCCTGGGATAGGAAGACTCAGGTATGCTGCCTCTACTGCTCAGGCTCCTGACTGTCTCATTAACCAGTAACCACTGAGTATGGGGACAAGCACCCAAAAGGGCCCCTGAACCTCGGAGAGCAAGACATGTATGAGGGGAAAGAAAAATACATTTTAAGAGGTTTCAGAATTGATGAGGCTTTGAGAGCCAGAGCACCTGCAGTCTGGCAACCATGGTGAGGTGCAGGCCACACCCAGCCATCTCCCCACCTGCTTGGTCTGCCAGCCCTGCACACTCATGTCTAACTGCTGCAAACCTAGGACCACATCTTCCTTTCTGGTCACCTCCATCAGGACAAAATTAGCTATACTCAACCCAGAAGGGGAACGCTATCAGAACTTCGCAGGCAGGTCAGGGCTCAGGTGCAAGTCCAAAAACATTCACTTCCCTCAGGTTTCCATCTTTTAAAAAACTGGTCTGTCAGGAATTGCACGTACCTGATTCTCTTCAATAACGGTGGCTTTTCCCCTCCTTTTGCTCTACAGGAACAGTATGAGTTCTGCTACAAGGTGGTGCAGGAATATATTGATGCATTCTCAGATTATGCCAACTTCAAGTAAGAGGTGATGAGATCCAGTGGACAGGAAATTTGCCTTTAATATTTTGTAATATTCTGTTTTGTTAATATACCCAAAATTGTGTATATATCTTATAACTGTTTTAGAAATTGGTACATAGGCTTCTATTACCTATTAGGTGGAGATTTTATATGTAAATGTGTTAGTACTGATAGTCCTTTTTCCAATGTTTTATTGGGGAATTAAATAGTGTGATGTTTGGATTGATATCGTGAAATCCTCTGCCTGGAAATTGGGCTGTATTATTCTTTGGTTTAGACATCTTTTCCTAAAGAAGGAACACAAAATTCATTCCAGGTAGCTCAGCATCAACTAAGAAAAAAAGCACAAAGTTCTCAGAGCTCTTGAGGAAATTGGTTGTCCTGGTGCCCCCACTCCCTCACCCTTTTCAGGTTCTTATTCCCTTCCTGCTCTGTAAATAATCCCTCCCATTCCACCCTCCCTCCCACCACCACCACCACCACAACCTACTGTGGGGAGTAAAGGAACCAGAGCGGTATCTCTGGCACCACACTAGGGATTATCAGGTAATAAAAGCTTTGACTCCCTGAGGAAGCGTCTCCCTTTGTCTGGGGTGGGGCAGCCATACCAGGGCTGGGGCTCTTACCTAGGCCACTCCTGGCCCTGCTTATTAATTAGTGTTCTGTCTCAACTGGTCTCACAAACCGCCATCCTCTCAACTCCTTTCCAATGGCACAGCCTCTCCAGCTCTCAGCTAGTTGCCAGGACTCACCTTTCGTTCCCAACACATCTTTGGTACAGTGATCCCAGCCAGCCTTGCTCCCTAGAAGATGGCCAACATCCTCAGTGTTTCCCTGGCACAGGGGCATGGAAGAAAGAGGAGATAGCTGACTAAGTCCAGTCCAACTTCCCTGGTGCTTTGCTACAAAATTGTCTGGATTGTGTCACTCTATCCAGGATAAGTCTTTATACCCACACTTACTAGATTAAATAGCTTTCATTTCCTTTTATATCTGCCCTCATTTCCAGGACTTTTATATGGAAGTGTCTCAGATCCAGAGGCCAGGATAGTAGGAGTCTTCAATTCCAACTTGATATCAAGCTGACATTATATAAAAATGTCTGGCATTTGTGTTTTAAGTCATGTGGATGTTCATTTATTTCTCATGTAATGGTGTGCTCAGTCCAGAGACCCAGTATTCTCCCATCTTGTCCCAGTGCCCCTTAGAATGTAATTCCTTTTTGTTTTGTTTTGTAAGATTTTATTTTTTGGTTCATGAGAGAAAGGCAGAGACATAGGCAGAGGGAGAAGCAGGCTCCCTGCAGGGAGCCTGATGCAGGTCTTGATCCCAGGACCCCAGGATCACGACTTGAATCAAAAGCAGATGCTCAACTACTGAGCTACTCTGGTGCCCTTAGAATGTTATTCTTGTCCTCACGGCTGAAGCTGGATCACTGTCTTTGCTTATGGACAATCAAAAGGAAAATAGAGAGCAAGCAACTTCATTTTTAAGGACATGAAGAAAAGTTCTTTCCATTTTCACTCCTATCCTATTGGCCAAAACCTAGTCATAAGGCTACACTGTGTGACTATAGGAATGTTGGGAAATGTAGTCTTTAGTTGGCACAGCTGGGAGGGTGGGTCTGTTCATTGCCTCTTACCCTCATGAGCAGCTCATCATGGGAACAGGAATGTGAACTGGTTGCCACAGCTGTCAATACAGGGCTAAGAGAGTCTTACAACCCATGGGGACTTTCTCAAAGAGCAGGGACAGGCCCTGGGCTACTCAGGCTGTCAGGAGTGAGAAGTGGCACCACAGCCCAAGCCATGGGAAGCACAGTCAGAGGTCATTGCTGCTGTACTTGTTGGCAGAGGTGGGACTTGAGCTGGATCCAAGGGATGCCGGAAATGTGGATGAGTGAAAGGAGGCAAAGTCACATGGAGCCACATTACTGAAGGCCTCAGAACCCTACAGAAGGTGAACAGGTGCAGTGGCTCTAAGATGGGAGCCAGGTTCAGCACATACTCAGGATATCTTCAGGAGGCAGGGGCACCATAACAGACAACCTCTGGAAGTTTCTGAGAAGTGAGTGGGTGTCAGAAGTACTTAGTCCTTCTGTAAGAACTAAGGAACTCCAAGTAACAATAAATTCAAAACTCAGTGGTTTTCAAAGAAGCATGGGCAAATTAAGCAATCTGAGAAGGATTTCTGATGAGAGGTGCCATGTTTGAGAAGGAGACCCTGGCTCTATGCAAGCTACATTTTGGTGCCTCTGTGACCAAGTCCTGGCAGGTGGAGGAGGCCGCAGGCCTTGGGTCAGCAAGCTATATAGCAAATCTGTAGGAGAGCCCCTCACGTGTCCTGGGTTGCCTCCTTACCTCCCAGCAGGCTGCCTACCTCCTGTTGCTAGGGCTGGTGTGGAGCAGCTTACTAGTGTGTACATGGGTTCCTACCGAAGGACTGATTACTAGCTCACCAGTGTGGCCTGGCTACTTTCCCTTTCTGTTGAAATCCATGCGGATTTGCTTGGTGGCTGAGGTGTGTGTGTGTGTGTGTGTGTGTGTGTGTGTGTGTGTGTGTGTGTGTGTGTGTGTGTGTGTATTTATTTATTTATTTAAGATTATTATTTGAGAGAGAGAGAAACAAAACATGACCAGGGTGGAGGGCCAGAGGGAGAGGAAGAAGCAGACTCCCCACTGAGCAGGGAGCCCAATGTGGGGCTCCATCCCAGGAACCTAAGATCATGACCTGAGCCAAAGGTAGGTGCTTTACCAACTGAGCCACCTAGGCGCCTCTGGGCCAGTATTTTAAATATCACCTGGCTGCTAAACAGATGTCTTCAAGCAGGACTTGCACTGTTGAAAGAGACATAAACCTGACAGGAACTAGTCAAGGTTAAGGGGTAAGTGTATCAGGGTTCACACCACGCAGTTGTGTGGGCACAGCAGGGTTGACTGCTTCATCCAGTGCCCGCCCCTCAGTTGGTCAGCTGTGCTGCATGGAGTTAAAGCTAGAGCCTGTGAGGACTTCTGAGAACGGGGAGCGAGGCATCCAGTGCCCACTGTGCTCAGACCCCAGTTCATCAAGTCAGCGCCCTCATGGGCGTTCAGTTTCCCTCAGCACTCCACCACCAAAAGCGTAAGTCTTTGGTTTTAATTTTTTTTAAAAAGGGCACCTCCACCAGGCCTGTAGTCCTCTGCCTTTGTGATAGACTCACTCGATCTTCTGTCACACTTAATCCCCCCAGATTCCCTTGTTACCTCTTGCCAAGGATCCACTCTCTGCCCTCCTGCTCCTTCCTCCCTTCTGACTTTATCCTCACTCTGTAGCCTCTGCTCCTCCTCTCTCCATCCTCAGAGCCCAAGCATTCCTGTGATCTGTATGCTGTGGACCTTCAGCCCTACCCCAGCCCTGAGCTACAGGTCAGCATAGCCTGCTTCCTGCCAAGTGACTGCAAAAGGTGACCCACAGGCACCTGTCTCACCCACGGCTGAGGGGTTCACCTGGTCTCTCCAGAGTCTGCCATCCCTTCCTGCAGCCTTCCAGCATTCTCTGCACCTCTCCCTCCACCCCTAGCCCGGGGATCCAGATCCACTGGCAGTTCTTGTGTGGACTCTTCTCCATTTTGTTCTTACGTGGGAGCACCACAGCTACCCTTTGTGCAGACCCTAGCTAACTCATTGTCATCCTTTGCCCAAACCATCTGATCAGGGGTTTGTGTCCCTCTGCTCCAGCAGCACCTGAGCACTCAGCTCTAAGCCTCTGCTTTCCCAACTGACTACACGCAGCTCCCAGACAGATGAAGTCCTGTCCTCTGGGCAAGCATGAGTTGGAGCTCAGTGGTGAACAACCAGCTTTCTGTGCCCTGCTGAGAGGGATACGAGGATGAATTTTAGAGTCTGTAATCTGGAAGAGGACAGAAACATTCTTGAAAAGCTATGTATATTGCCAGAAAGAAAGGAACCAGAGCGTCCCCTGGGAAGCTTAATTCTGATTTGAATTTTTTAGAAAAAACTACAAACAAATTACAGAAAAAATAAAGGCACCCCATTCCTCTTTTAAAATAAACACAGGGGACTTTGAATAAAACATTCTGTAAGCCCAAACCAGAACTAAGCTAGTTTATTGAACTCCATCATTTTTACTAAACCACAAATGTTTCTCTAAAAATTACTTGGTTAACCAACACGTTTAGGAACAAAGTGTATTATTTCTCCAAACCATTTAACTATATAATCCACATATTGTCTCTGGTCTCCATTAAATATAAATCATTTTGGAAATTCATGTCCAGGCACCCATGAATGACTGGTGCCCATTAGGCCATCCCCTCCCCCATCTTTGCCACAAGATTGACACACCTACTCTTTTTTTTTTTTTTAGATTTTATTTATTTATCCATGAGAGAGAGGGAGAGGGGCAGAGACACAGGCAGAGGGGAGAAGCAGGCTCCATGCAGGGAGCCCGAAGTGGGACTCGATCCTGGGTCTCCACGATCAGGCCCTGGGCCAAAGACAGCGCTAAACCGCTGGGCCGCCTGGGCTGCCCACACACCTATTCTAATGACTGGCTACCACAACACCAAGCCTGACCCTGGCTCTTGCATTTGTTTAGCCCAAATGCAGAGATTGGCTATTAAGCCTACAAACAGGCCTCTGCCCTCCTCCTGTCCCCCATGCTAATAGCTGGTGGTGAAAAGCTGGACTGACGCAGATTGATAGGTGGGGGCATGTTTCAAGTGCCCTAGGTTAGCTGTGTCCAAGTCCATGAATAGTCCCTTGGCTGAGCACAGAATGGGGAGGGCTTGGAACCTTGAGAGGCAAAACTATTCCTACCTCCTGCTCATTCATGGTCCTACCAGCTACCAGCCTGCAGATGCTGCTGTACTACCCCCTTAGCAACACCCCCCCCTCCCCATGGGCTGGCTGGGAGGAAAGAGAAGCTGCCTGGGGGTAGGTGTGCCCCACCCAAACCTGCCTCCGTCTGGAGTGATCCATCACTGGTGCCCAGGTGTATGGATGAGGACCGCTCCATCCAGCCTATTTTGCAGTTTGGCAGACAAGCCTTCAGGCCCTCTTAGCCTCCCCCAGACTCTTCACAGGTTGCTGGGCTCCCTACTCAAGCTGCCAGCTGGGTGGGACTCTGGGTCCCCAGGCATTTCCCGCCCCCCAGGCTACTCTTTGTTTCTGAATCAGAGAAGACCGGTTTTTGTAGGCCAAAGGGCAGGAGCTTGAGGATGCAACCTGGGAGAAGGGAAGTGATTCTTCAGGGCCTGGCCAGGCTGGAGCAGGAGTCTTAGTACTTCAGATCCCTGGGAGGGAGAGGGAGCAATTTGGTGACCCCAGGGCCAATGGCTAAAAATACACTAGGAATATACACTGATAAGAGAAGGGTGTTGGGTGGCAGGCTGCGCCCCCTCCCTCTTTGAGACATCACTGAAGTGCGTGGACCAGGAACAGTGTGGTGTCTCCTGGTCAATAAATCCTAGCGCTGGCTGTCTCCGGGGTGGCGGGGGATCCACTGTCACCTGGAGGAGCCACCTCAAGGAGCCAGCTCCTCCATAGCTTTCCCTCAGTGAGTAAAGAGGCTGTTCTCCCCAAAGGCTGGGACTCCTGAATGGAAGTCTGTCCTGCGTGTGTGACACACTGTTGTTCTTCTCCCTCCCAAGTCCCTCTACCCCGAACTATGTCCCAGGAAAAAAAACTTTACCTTTCTCTCTGCACCACTGTCCCTGTGCCTGCTGCTTTTAGCATAGGAAGGATGAGGGGTGGAAGCACTTGCCCAACCCCGGGCAAGTGTCTGCCTGTGTCTCTGCCTCTCTCTCTCTCTCTCTCTCTCTCTCTCTCTCTCTCTCTCTCTCTCCTGAATAAATAAAACCTTAAAAAAAAAAAAAAAAACCACTTGCCCATGTCACCACCACATCCATTCCACACCCCCAAATGCCATGGAAGAGAGATGACAAAAGACAGAGGCAACATGCCATGCACCAAGTGCCCCAAATGCCCCTACACCTTAGGCTAATGCTGCCTTAGCCCTTGGAGAGCTTCCCTTACCAAAACCTCTGTTCCTCTTCCCAACCTTCTCCCACTTCTAGAATCCCTGAAGGAGGGAGGGGTAGGCCTGACAGACAAAGGAAGGCCCTCTGCTGGCAAGGCTGGGACCCTCTGTGTCCCAGGAGGTTCTGGGGAAAGCTAGTTAGTTGCCAGGAGCCTTTGGGGTCCAGATCCCAAGAGTCTTTGGATGAGGGTCAGTGAGTGGCAGAAGAGGGAAGGGCATTAGGAAACACTGAAGCTATCCTTGAAGTGCCAGGTGTCTAAGGAGCCCTGGAAGAAATGGAAAGAGTTATGGATGGAAGCGCCTGTCGTCTTGAGTGCTGTTATCCAGGCTAGGCTTGCTGCTGCTGCTGCTGCTGCTGCTGCTGCTGCTGCTGCTGCTGCTGCTGCTGACTATTCATTTTGGACCCTCGAAGGCTCAGCACTGGTCCCATGGCTGGTATCCTGGAGGAAAGGGAGCTTCCAGCTAAGCCCAGCCACCCCCACATGCCCCCCAGGTGGGTTAAAGGTATCCCCTGCCTGAGTGGGAGGAAGAAGGTATTGGCTGGGGCTCCTTCACCTACTGTGAGCCTAGGGTGGGAGCAGTGGGCAGGCCACAGCCTTGGCTCCTTTCTGAGGAAGGGTCCTGGGTACTGCAGCAAACAGCCCAGACCAGACCGCCCATAACCTCCCAAGCAATGCCCTGGCCCCCCCTGAGAACAGTGTGCCCTGGGAGGGCAGAACTACAGGCTGGTGGCCCCTCTGTAGAAAGCAGCACCTGGTGCAAACACTGCTAGTAAGTACAGGGAGAGACCTGGCATTGGCCAGCAGGGGCCACTGTGGCTAAGGACTTGTTGGGGGATATGTGGACAAAAGAGGGGAGTAATGAGCTAAAACTGAGACGACCCCTGGGCACACAGCAGGATGCCATCTGCTATCCTTCCTATTTCCCAGAATTCTAGACAATTTATGATAAGATACTTATGTTAAAAGAAGTAACTAGTGGAGTGGAGAGAATTCTACTCAAAACCTCCATAAGACAGTGGCTGTACTAGGGTCCTCCAGGCTTCTTGTCAAGAGAAGCCCATGTGTCTGGAGGTGAGCAGCCCCTCAGTGAAAAGAGGTGAGGGGTTGAACTTACACTATTAGGTAAGGGGGTCCCAAGAACCAAGGCTGACGCACTAGAAATGCAGTGATTGCAGAAGACCAGTGTGCAGCGATGGATTATTATTACTATTTTGCATTTATTTTAAAGTGCACGGGAAAGCCATAACTGAAGGAGAAAAAGTAAATTCGTATTAGGCAAAAACATTACGTAATTTAAGTTGGTGTGAGCTCAGGTTTTTACAAACCAGGTTTGTTTGGGGTGGGCAACGCCCAGGGAGCTCCAGAGCCCCCACGCTGGGTTCCCTAGCCGGCAGGCGGGTCCTCAGGACAGAAGAGAGCAAGCTGGCCGCCTGGCGGGCCAGGTCGGGAGGAGTGAGGGCGGGCAAGGTCGCAGGCGGGCAGCCTGGTGACCAGGGCGTCCTCTGAAATGATCACCTCCTCCCCCCACAGACTGGACCTAGAGCACCGCGCCCTGTCGCCCTCCAATAAAGATACGAAGCCCCTGAAGCTGCTGCTTCGAGCTCTCTCCTCTGTCCCGTCCCTCGCCCACCCGCAGAGCCTATCCAGCGCGGGGATTGGAGGGACGTGGGCCCTGCCCGCCGGCGGGAGGGACGCGGGGCGGGGCGGGGCGGGGCAGGCCCTGCAGGGAGAGTGCGGCCAAGGCCCGCGGGCCCGAGGACCACGCGTTGGTGTGCACGCGCGCGCCCGCCCCGCCCTACGGGCTCCCGGGGGTGGGGGGCGGGGCCCGCGGACTACGCGCCCCGTGGTGCCCCGCGGTCGTCTCCGGGCCCCGTGATGCCCTGCGGCGCGCCGGAAGCGGAAAGGCTTCGGCCATGCTTTGCGCGCTGAGAGTTTGGGGCGCGGGTCCCCGGTGGGGGCCTCCGGCCCCGCTGCTGCTCCTCGTGCGCGGCCGCAAGACCCGTCATGACCTTCCGGCCAAGTCCAAGGTCGGGCGCGTGGCGACCCCGCCCACGGTGGATCCCGTAGAGTTTTTCGTGCTGACGGAGCGTTACCGGCAGTACCGCCAGACGGTGCGCGCCCTCAGGTGTGTGTGACGAGGGGAGGCGGCCGCCGGCGCCGTGGGCTGCGAGGCGGAGAGGGCGGGCGGAGAGGGTGCCGACTGCGGGCCTATCTCCGCCCAGGCTGGAGTTCGTGACTGAGGTGCGGAAGAAGGCGCACGAGGCCCGGGCCGGGGTCTTGGCAGAGCGCAAGGCGCTGCAGGATGCCACCGAGCACCGCGACCTGATGGCCTGGAACCAGGCAGAGAACCAGCGGCTCCACGAGCTGCGGTGAGTGGGCCGGGAGGCGGGGCAGGCCGCTGGTGGCGCGGGGCAGACCCAGCCGCGCGCAGTCTCAGCCTCTTGCCCTCGCCCCCACCCCAGGTTAGCTAGGCTGCGGCAGGAGGCGCGGGAGCAGCAGCAGCGGCAGGCGGAGGAAGAAGCCCGGCGGGCCCGAGAGGCCCAGGCCTGGGCGCAGCTCAAGGAGCAGGAAGTGCTGCAGCTGCAGGTGGGTCGCGTCTCCGGGCCTGGAGCTAAGGGCCGGGAACAACTGGGCGGCAGTCCTGGGCGCGGCGCAGTGGGACACTGGCCAGCGCACTGAGGGAGCGAGCAGCCTTGAGTCTCAGTTAGCAGGTGAGGATTTGGGAGAGAAGGAGTGCAAAGAGAGTGACGGGCGCAGACACCCAGAGGTGAGTTGACATTAGAATTGTAAAGTATCCGAGTAGCTAGGTGGTGGTAAGCCCGCCTCTTACCCCGGAAGGGCCCCCAGTTCCACAAGGAGTTTGTATTTTGTTTTGCGGGTATAGTCATTGAGTGTTAATATTTTGGGCTAGGGTGGCAGGTGTGAGACTAAAAAGCAGGGAGACCATTTGGGAGTGATCCAGTAAGAGTGGATGAGGTCTGAATTAAAGTAATGGGGGGTGCGGAGAACAAGTTTGACAGAGATTAACGAGGGACATTGAGGCAACATTCAACCCAGCAGGACTCGAGATTGTCACAACTGGTGTGCTTGGAGTTCTGGCTCAGATGTCCAGTGGATAATTATCTAAGAGGAATATGATAAGGCTCCCTGATACTTTCTGTCTCCCAATAGGAGGAAGCAAAAAATTTCATTACCCGAGAGAACCTGGAGGCACGGGTGGAAGAAGCATTGGACTCGCCGCCGAAGAGCTACAATTGGGCCATCACCAGGGAAGGGCTGGTGGTCAGACCACAGCATAAGGGCTCGTAAGGGTCCAGTAAGGACAGTGCCCACCCAAGGACCATGTGTGTATGGGGTAGGAGGGTTGGGCCTGATCTGGAATAGATCTGTTGATGTTGCTTAGGAAGAAGGAGGCTCAGCCTATTCCAGTGTCCTCCTCACATTCTGCCCTGCACCCACCACCTGGTTGGCAGTTCCCATACATACTGTCCTGTTCTACACCCATGTACGACTCAGCAAAGCAGCAAACCTTAAAGGTTTCCAGCTCACAGTGGCGCAGAATGGACCACAGTCCCCTCGATCAACTAGGTTATTTACTAAGTGTCATCAAGGACATGGACAGAGGTTGGCAAATTACAGTCCTTTGGCCCAATTTGTCCTGCTGCCTGTTTTTGTAAATAAATTTTATTGGAACACAGCTACATTCATTCATTGACTACTTTCACACTATAATGGCAGAAATGAGCTGTGTAACAGAGACTATTTGATTTGCAAAATGTAAAAAATATTTGTTACATGGGTTTGTTTTTTTTTTTTAAGATTTTATTTATTTATTCATGAGAAACAGAAAGAGAGAGGCAGAGACACAGGGAGAGGGAGAAGCAGACTTCATGCAGGGAGCCTAATGTGGAACTCGATACTGGACTCGAGGATCACACCCTGGGCCAAAGGCAGGCACTCAACTACTGAGCCACCCAGGTGTCCCATGTTACATGGGTTTTTAGAGAAGTTTGCCAACTCCTGATCTAGAGCTTTAGGAGTCTAGCCAGAGTATCCAGGTAACAAAGGGGCAGCAGAGACACAAGCTAACCACCGGCCAAAGACCCGCTTCTGCTTGATCCTAAGATTTGCCAGCTGAGGTCTGGTGTGCCCAAGGCACAGAAGTAAGGAAGAAACCCCATTTCTTTATCAGTGGCCCTTTCTACCCAAGGCTTCCATGACCCACATGGCCCTGGCACTACCAGCTTCCTTGGACTACACACCATATTGGTACTGGCAAGGGAGACCTGATTGACCTTTAGAAGATCAATGTGGCTTATCTAGCACTTGGACCAAACGCTATGGGTACCAGAATTACTTGTAATTGAAATTCACAAGGTTCAACAAGTGAACATACAGATTTATGGCCCCTATTCAAGCATAAGTCCTCATGTCTGAGTCAGAGCTGCTGGCCCTTTGTCACTAATTCACCTGAACTTGCCCAGATACCAGCAGAGGAAAATGAACAGAATCCTAGTTTCTTTCTCCAGCTCCCAGGTTGTGGAGACAGTCTGGAAACCCCTAAAACATGAAAACCTTTTAGGGAACATGTGCCATCCTTCAATATTCAAGTGAGGTAGCAGGTATAGAGGTACAAGCAGAGGGCTAATAGTTATACTGCCTTGCACCCAGCATCCATCAGGCCCTGCACCCCTGAAGGCAATAACCTCCCTCCCCAGGCTGATAGTGGGTCATCTTTCCTCTGGTGCTGAGCCCAGGCACAGGACAGTGTAGTCTTTAGTTTCAGATCCTCAGTATAACTTCTGATGTGAAAGCTGATAGGTGCACATTATAGACCATGGATCAAGACAACTGTGCCCATAGCCTTGGGATTTGTTGTGAGAAGCGGACCATTTGGTCCCCTGCAGTGGAAGTGTTTGGTGAGCTTTACACATGGGACACAGCCTGTATCAGAAAGTCCAGTTTCATTCTTGTTAAAGTCCCTGGCTTTCTGCACCAGAATTTGGACACAAGCTATTTCTCTTCAGGTAGAAAAAACTGTGTCATACTTTCTTGAAACTCTGTCTTTGGGCAGCTTTTCCTTTACAGCTGTCCTTTAGTGTCCTTAGCATTCACTGCTGATGTCAGTATATCATGTGGAGCCACCTGTAAACCAAGCTTCAATGTTGTTATCCTTCACTCACAGCCATCTTCTTACTGGTATAGGCACAGATTAGGCAGTTTACTGGTACCTTCAGGGTTAAAGCAAGCCCAATCTCATCTGTATCTGCATCTCATGGATCATAGAGTGCTGTTAGGTGCACAGGTAAGCTCAGATCTTACCTGGTCCAGGTTGCAGAGTTATGTGGTGTCCCACAGAAGAACTTTATCTCCAATAGAACCCTGATGGCCTCAGAAACACCAGGGCCTCTTCTATTTTGTGGGCAATATGCAAACATAAATGCTTTCACCAAGACCTGAGGCCTACCTACCATGATTTATGCATTGTGAGGGTAGATTGAGGGACAAGATTTGTATTTCACTTGGAGAGGTATGCTGACCCCCCAGGAACTTTGCTGGGTGGGTAATTTTTCCCTGGGATTTATCTCGCTTGAGTCAAGCATGGGTGTTTTACACCTGGATTCCTGTCCTTTCCAATTCTCCAAGATAAGCAACGTGACCTCAGTGAAGTGGACGACCATGATGTCCTAGGGTGGGTGGCCAAGGTCTTAAGGATTAGGTTGTACAGGGATCCCTGGGTGGCGCAGCGGTTTGGCGCCTGCCTTTGGCCCAGGGCACGATCCTGGAGACCCGGGATCGAATCCCACGTCAGGCTCCTGGTGCATGGAGCCTGCTTCTCCCTCTGCCTGTGTCTCTGCCCCTCTCTCTCTCTGTATGACTATCAGAAATAAAAAA